CTCAGGCGGCTCCCGGCGGCCCGGAGCCTGGGCGCCGAGGCCGTCCGTCCCCACTGGACCCCTTGGTGGCCGGGCCACCCTGGGCCCGCTGTGACCTTCCTGGGCCGCTTCCCCGCGGCCTGCCCCGCCACGTCCTGGCCGTTTCTGCGCCTGGTCACCTCTCTGAAACCTGGTGGCACAGGTGAGGGGACACTCCTCAGCCCCGAAGTTGGCCTCAGGCGGCCTAGGGCCTATGTGCAGGACTTTGTAGCAGAGCTTCCACCCGAGATACTTGCCCTCAAGTCCCTGGACTCGCGAAGACAGTGGTAGAGCAGCGTGCGAAAACCGGACGTTGCTCGTGGAACTTCGTTACTTGCCTTGGTCCACACAGGGACAGGGTCGGCTGTAGCCCACCGCGCTGTCCCTCCCCTGGGCAGAGCCTCCAGCCCCACGTGTCCTCTGGTATGTGGGAAAGACTCGTGTCTGCTAGTGTCTCAAGTGTACCAGCTGTTAAAAATCTCTGGGCCGGAAGTCTGCACGCACCCCGGCCTCGGCAGGACCTCCTGGGCCTCGGGAGCCCCCCTGTAGGCTAGGATGCCTCCTTAGAAGGTGGAAACCACCTGGGACTCCGAAATAGAACTGTCTGCTTTTGTGGACCAGGAAGCAGGAAGGAAAACATGGATAGCTGTATCTGGGTCAAAACTCAATGCCATCCAGTATCTAATTAGAGGAAGTCAGTCTTACTGGAGCAGCCAGCCTCTCCTTTCTCCTGCTGTTAGCCGTCTGATGCTTTACTGACTGTCAGTAAATCCCTCCAAGTCTTGTTCCAGAAACTTCTGGTATGTCTCACCAGAAAAGGGTCAGATGACCATATGCTCATGTTATGCACAAACGTATTTTGCCTAGGCTTTGTCATATCTTTCTATATGGGATGTCAGTGCTTTCTGTGTGGGCTACGATCTGTATGGGGTATGACGGGCTCAAACAGCAACAACTGTGACGGTGCAGGACAACGAATCAGGAAGAAGGGGAACTGAATTGGTGCATTTGAATTGTGGTGCTGGCAAAGAATATTGCAAGTACCGCAGACTGCCAGAGAACAAAGATCTGTCATGAAGAAGTACATCCAGCATTCTCCTTAGTGAGACTGGCCTCACCTCTTTTGAACATGTTCCAAGAAGGACCAGTCCCTGGAGAAGGACATCATGCACAGAAGCAGGTCATCAAAAAGGAACCTCCTCAAAGAGATGGACCGACACAGTGGCTACGAGAGTGAGCTCAGGCATGATTGTGAGGAAGCCACGGGAACAGGCAGTGCTCCATTCTGTGTGCCATGGGGTCACTGTGAGTCACAGATTGGATGGAACCTGAACCTGACAACAACGTAAAGTTAGAGGACTCTATTAGTGCTCTGACTGTCAGATATGTTACACGCTGTAAATTAGCTGTGTGTGTGTGTGTGTGTGTGTGTGTGTGTGTTCCCCGACAGGGATGGGAGGGTTTGCTGTAATTTGACAATGACCCAGTAGTCTTACGTGTTAGAAGCAGAAAGGTGTTTTAACCTCAGTTGGTAAGAAACCAAAAAGATGTAGAATTCCAGGTGAAGTGAATGGTGATTGAATTGATCAGTTTGGACTTTTGCTTCAGGTTTTGGCCGTGCCAAATTATTGGCCCTTTTAAATACAATAGGAAGTTACATTTGTATGAATAGTTCTCAAAAAAGCCCCTAACTTGTTGAGCCTTGTAATAAATAAGCCTGGGAGAAAACAATACTTTAAAAAATATATTATTTTTCCTTCTCTCTAATGTACAGGATGATAATGAAGATAATTCAAATGATGGAACCCAGCCATCCAAAAGGAGACGGATGGGCTCAGGAGATAGTTCTAGGAGTTGTGAGACTTCAAGTCAGGATCTCAGGTACTGGTCTTTTATTGCTTGATCACACTTTTGTGTGCTATGGTCGTTTTCTCTGCACCACTTCCCTCTCTCCCTACCCCATCCCTAGCAACAGTAGGTATTTGACATTTAAAATGTTTTTCAATAAGATGCCAGAGTTGCTCTTGCTATTGGTGCAGTGTCTACAGTCACTTTTCAAAGCAGCTTCACTGAGATTAATTTACTAGCTGTAACTCACCCTGTTCTAAGTGTGCTGCAGTTCAGTGATTGTTAGTAAATTTACAGAGCTAGGCAATTGCTACTACAACAATCTAGTGTTTTTCTCCCAGGGAAATGCACGTGACAGGTATTTGGAGGCATCTTGGGCTCTAGGTTGTTTATGACATTAGATTTTAAACTGTGAAATAAAATGATTTGGTAGACTGCAGAACAGGAGAGTAGTAGGACCAGGAAGATCCAGAAATCCTGACTGGCTCTTCGTTCTGCTTAACTCTGATGTTGAGGATGAAGATGATCTAAAAAGCTGTTTCAAAAAAAAAAAAAAGTTGTTTCATAGGAATCCCAGGAGAAAGGTGTTTTGTGGATGTTTTAGTGAATGCAATGAAATCTGATTAATTAAACCAGTTACCTAATATTATTTTCTGTCTCTATCAAATTGTCTATTCTGGACATTTCTTACAAATGGAATCACATGTTGTTGGCAGTTTAAAACTCATTGGCTGCTTTGTGAGGTAAAGAGACTTCCTGCTCCCATAAAGATCTACTGTAGTCTCAACATAGTCTCCGACACCAGGTAATGTGATGGCATTGGTAGTATACCTATGAGTACAATTTCAGGGCCATACTACATTCCCAGTAGTCTCCCACAACGGTTTTTCAGTGTGCCCACATCCTTGTCAGTGCTTGATGCTACATTCCCGTCTTAGTGTGAGTGGGAATCCCACTTTGGTTTCGCTTTGCGTTTTCCTGGTGGCTGATGTATCTTTTCGTGTACTTTTGACCTTCTGTACGTCTTTGGAAAAATGTCTATGCAGATCTTTTCTCGTTTTTAAATTGAGCTATTTGCCTTCTTATTGTTGATTTGTAAGCAAGTCCGTTACCAGCCATATGTCCTTCCATGGTATCAGATGTCTTTATTTTCTTGGGTGATTTCATTGATAGCACAAACGTTTTTCATTTTGATAAAGCCCTGTTTACCTGTTTTTTCTTTCACTGGTCATATGCCTGGCTGGCGACCCTTGTAAACTCCTTGTGCCAATCTAGAGTCATCCTGATTCACCTGTGGTTTCTTTGTAAAAGTTTTATAATTTTAGCTTTTATGTTTAAGGTATTTAACTTTCATATTTAAGGTTGTTGGTCAGATTGAGTTCATTCATAATGTAGGATGTGAGAGGGGGCCAGCCTTATTCTTTTGCTGGTGGATAGATATCCAGTGCTCCCACCATAATTTTTGAAAGCTCTGTCCTTTCTTCAAGAACTTATTAAATGGACAGAATCATAAAATAATATATAATTTCACTTGTCCCTGGATGAAAGTTAGAGGTCGTATTCGCTTAGAAATTCATAGTCTTTGCAATTTGTCGTTGAGACTGCGTACAGCACACTGGACACCTTCAACTGAGACCCCTCTGTGTGCCGGTGTTGGTGAAGTCTGTGAGGACAGGTAACGATGGCTCGTTAAGGAATAGATTTTAAGCTTCTTTCTCAGCTTCCTGTGACTCACGGAACAATGCAGGGACAGGAGACAGCGGGCTCGTTGGTACCCTGGGAGGAGATTCCAGAGCTGCTCCCGCTGTCCTGAGTCTACAGGGCCCTCTGAGCTAACAAATGCCTTTGCTCCTGGTGGCTGTGATTCCTGGTTCTTGGTGGTGTACAGAGACATTTCCTTTGGCATTGTGGATGAGGCCTTTATAGTTCTTTTACCTGTTTTGTAAACATACATGCTTCCTGAGAACTTTGTATTATCTAGTCATGGGAGACAGACTGACAGTTTAATTACTTAAAAGTAGTTTTTCAGAATGTTGTAAACATAAACATGATTTAAATAAAAGAAGGCCCTTTAAGGACTAACATATGTTTCTGTGCTTAGCTTTAGCTACTACCCAGCAGAGAATCTGATAGAATACAAATGGCCCCCTGATGAGACGGGAGAGTACTATATGCTTCAAGAACAAGTCAGCGAGTACTTGGGTGTGACCTCCTTCAAACGGAAATACCCAGGTACTGAAGTCCTAGTTTATGGTGCTGGATGCCTGCATGGTGGAACCTGGAAGAGCCAAAACTGGACCAGACTGCCTGGCTTTTCTAGGTCTCTGGGGATGTCTGCCTTTGACAAGGGTGCAGTCTTGCTCTCTAAGTGAAAATATTCCAGTTTTCCTTTTCTGGGAGGTTTCCACCGAAACAGCTTTCACAGGTTTTATTATATTTGGAAGTCAGTATTTTTTTCTGATGTGCATGACTACAGTATACTTTATATTCTTGTGCTGCCTTTCACTTCCCCCTGTTGTACGCTGTCTCCCTCCACTGTTTGTACACCTCACACACACACGACCTCTGCCTAACATTGACCCTGCCACACTGACTGGCCTCCCCCTCATCCTGACAACTCCCTCCAGCTACCCTGGACTGCATACCCCAAACTCTCCTCATACCTTGACCTCCTTCACACCCTGACCTCCCCTCATACCTCGACACCTCCCCTTATACCCTGACACCTCCCCTTACACCCTGATCTCCCTCACACCTTGACTTTCCTCATATACTGACCTCCTCACTGACCTCTCCACCTGCCACTTTCCCCTCACCTACCTCCCTGTGCCTCACAGGCTGACCTATCCATCACATACTCACTTTGCCTCACGCACCAGCCTTCCCCTCACGTACTGACTTCGTGTTTACACACTGACTTCTGCGGACACCCTGAGCCGTGCCTCACATGTTCACTTATATCTCCTATTCTAATTGCCTCCATGCCATGAACTGCGCCTCACACCGACCCCCCCCTTACTTGCTGCCCTGTGCCTCACATCATGACCTCCTCTTCACATCTTAACCTCCCTCTCATCCATGACCTCCCCTCATCTGCCACCTTATGCCTCCCACCCTATCCGTACCTTCCCTTCCCATACCTCAGCCTCCCCTCACATGCTGACTCC